GATCTTGTCCAAATACTCCACAATAGAATGAGGTGGCAGAACGAAAGTACCGTCATCTATTGGAGGTGGTCTGAGCTGCACTGATTGGAGCTCACATGCCAGCAACATATTGGGGAGAAACTCTCACATATGCAGTATACACTATCAACCGAATACCTTTCAGGTCTCTTGAGTATAAAAAACATCTTCAATCACTTACAAATGCAGTAGTAAGTCCTAGAATGGTTGAACTAACACATAGAGTTTTTTGTTGTGTTGCTTATGTTCACTTACAAAAGCATCAGAGAAGTAAATTGTCTCCTAAAGCTGAAAGGTGTGTGTTCCTTGGCTATGTGGATCATAAAAAAGGATATCAGTGCTACAATCAACAAACCAAACAAATGTTTACTACTATAGATGTAATTTTTCATGAGACCTTGATATATTTTTCCCCTGAGTCTGAAATTCAGGGGGAGAATTATGATGAAGTTCAGACTTTTATTCCTCAAGAAATTGATACTGAGGTCAGATTGGAGAAAGGAAGTTACAAAGTTGTACCAGGAGATGATGAATGTGTGCAACAATGTGATGATCAACAATCACATAATAAGGAAGAATTTGAACATATCGAGATCCAAAGTTTGTCTATTGATGCTAATGATATACCACACCAATCGTCCCCTCAAGAACCTAATACAAAAAAAAATTTCTACCAGATCGTGTTACTAGAGGTATCCCTAAGCCTACTTATGATCTTGACCTCACCAATAAGACAAGATACCCTATGAGTAATTATATTTGTAACCAGAATTTGTCTAACTCAAATATCACATTTATAAGTCAATTATCTACTGTATCTATTCTTAACGGTGTGCAAGAAGTTTTAGCTGACTCTGGGTGGAAGGATGCTATGAATGAGGAGATGAGATCCTTGCAAAGAAACAAAACATGAGAATTGGTATATTGTCTAGTTGGAAAGAAACCACTAAGATGTCGATGAATGTATACCGTGAAATTTGATGCAGATGGCACAATTAAAAAATTCAAAGCTAGATTAGTGGCAAAAGGGTATATACAAGCATATGGAATTGATTACACTGAAACATTTGCCCTCGTAGCCAAAATTAGCAAAGTTTGAGCATTGTTATCTCTAGTTATAAATCTTGATTGGTCCTTATAACAATTTGATGTAAAAAATGTCTTCTTACATGGGTAATTATCTGAAGAAGTTTAGATGGAGCTACTAGAAGGATGTGGGATCCCGGATACACATAGCAATAAGGTATGCAAGTTGAAGAAGTCATTGTATAGACTAAAGCAATTTCCACGAGCATGGTTTGGTAGATTCATCAAGTCAATGCTTGCTTTTGGATATCAACAGAGCAACCAAGATCATACATTGTTTCTAAAGAAAAAAGGAAAGAAATATTATAATTCTTATTGTCTACATTGATGACATGATAATTACGGGAGACGATCTAGAGGAACACAAGACATTGAAAGAGTACTTAGCAAAGGAATTCGTGATGAAGGATCTTGGTCCTTTGAAGTACTTTCTTGGAATTAAGGTCTCAAGATTAAAGTCAGGTATTTTTCTCTCACAACGAAAGTATGCATTGGATTTACTGAAAGAAACTGGAATGACAGAATGTAAACCAACAAATTCTCCAATTGAAGGGGAATTGAAGTTGTGCATTGAAGAAGATCAAATTTCAACTAACAAGGGAATATATCAGAGACTTGTAGGGAGATTAATGTATCTCTCACACACTAGGCCAGATTTAGCCTATGCTCTTAGTGTGGTTAGCCAGTTCATGCACAATCTAGGTGAAAAATATATGGATGCTGTTATACAAATTTTAAGGTACATAAAAACACTCCTGGAAAAGGAGTTATGTTCAAAAAGAACTTCAACTACAAGGATGTGATGGTTTATAGAAGATCAACCTCTGAATACTTTATATTTGTAGGAGGTAATCTTGTCACATGGAAAAGTAAGAAGTAGAAAGTTGTAGCTAGATCCAGTGCAGAAACTGAACTTAGAGGAATGGTTCTTGGACTTTGTGAAGGTTTGTGGCTCAGACTACTTTTTCAGAATTTAGGATATGCACATACATGTCCCATTAAGTTGTATTGTGATAATAAAGCTGCACATGACATTACTCACAACTCTGTCCAATATGATCGAATGAAGCATATGAAAGTTGATAGATTTTTCATCAAAGAAAAACTTGACAAAAATATTCTAAAATTGCCAAATATTTGATCTAAAGATCAGCTGACAGCTATTCTTACCAAAGGTGTGACAAGTAAAATTTTTAGGAGATTATTGGACAAATTGGGAATGTATGACATCCATTTACTAATTTGAGGAGGAGTGTTGATATGAATATATTTGATTAACTAAATTATAAATTTATATAGCTGTAAAAAATAATGCATAATCAGAACTTACTTTATTTATATTTGATTTGTAGGAATAAAATACTATCGGAATATGGTATCTATATCTAAAAAATATATAAATAAAAATTATAGAATAAATTCTATGTTTTTCAATTTTTAATTATGGATGTTATTATAAGATCTATGTTATTATATAGATGTTTATAAGATATAGATGTTCTAAGAACTCTATTATAGTAAAATTTTAAGTAAGAAAACGTAACTGTAAATTACGTGTTATAGGTGAAAGAAATAGACACGGAAATCCAACATCTCAAGGGTGAAGTAACGAGAGAAATTTGATTTATCTTTTTTATTATCTTATTCTGGAAAGATTTGCGTGATTGATTATTCACATACCTGTTACATAGTTGCATGATTCCATTTGCATGTCAGTTTTTGCAACGGCATAGGATCTAATTTTTCAGCTTCCACAAAACATAGTCAAATTGAGGTTGCAGTTCATCAGTTTCTGTTGTCAAATTGAACACATCTTATTATAACAGCAATTGGTTACATTGATATAGAGAGAGAGAGAATAAAAGAAGAAAGATTATTTATATTTAGTGATAGAAAAAACTTGTTACTAATTCAATAATATGTACTCAGGTATGTATGATCATATCTAATTAACAATTTTCAGTTGACCAAGATGTTTCCTATTATTTGTGGGTTTGTCTTTGACTAAAAGTTAAACAAACCAGAAATACGTAGCTCTTGGCTTGTTATGCACATGGCATTACTAATTATCATTGTTGTTTAGAGGAACCCCAATTATTTACAAAAGAATTCATATCCTTTGAAACTTGAAATATTGTCATTTATCTCCAAACTTTTGTTTTCTATATACTTAAATACATACTTATGGGCAATATAACATGGATCTAAGTTTATAACTTAGTTAACAACCAATTGAAAGATCATTACAATAGTATCCCCAATCTAAGGAAATCAATATTAACAAAACATAAATATAATTATAAATGAAGTAACGTTATTAAAGAATATTGTGTAGTTTGATTCCCAAATGGAAGGTTATCATCCTGATTTATTTTTTTATTTTTATTTTTGAGGAGGACGGCCATGAATATAATGTAAGTTGAATCTTCTTTACTTTTCTCCCTTTTTTTTTGTCCTAATTAACGAATTAATATAATATCCTTAAAAAATAAAGTTGAAATTATATGAAGCATTGAAATAGTCCTACACACATCATACAAAGTTAGGGAAACATTTCTTTTATTCAATTCAACAATGGTATAAGGAGTTTTACCACTAATTCAAACACATCAATGAACGGTGTTAGATATATTAGGGGACATTTCATAATATTTTAACTTTTACTTGTATTTTTTTAATGTATAAATGTCACTCTATTTTCAATGTATTTTATGTTTTCAAATCTTTGTACGATAAACACTAAAAAGTTTATTTATTTTATATTTTTATACAAATGTATATTTAAAAACAAAAAAATAAAATGACACTTTTATAATTAAAATAAGTTAAAGTATATTTTTTACTCTAATTTTGTAAGATTTTTATACCCATGTTTTTTTTTAATATGTAATTTTAGTCAAATTCTCAATATATATATATATATATATATATATATATATATTATTTATTTAATTAAATAATTTCTTAATTATATTAAATGGATATATTAAATCTAAAATATAACCAGACTAAAATAAAAAGAAACATAAAATTAAAATTTTAACAGAAATTGCGGAATTTTAATTATGTAAACTAAAATATTAAAAATATAAATCTGAAATTTAATTCTTAATTTTGATTTTGATTTCTCTTATAATTTTAATTTTTTTAATATTTTCATTGATTAATATTTTTAATGATATGAATATGTTATTAACAGTTTAATTGAAAAAAAAATACAAAACATTTGTAAAAAAAGAAACAATACCATATTCTAAAATTACAGTTATTTTAGTTTAATGGATATCCATTGTGTAATGAACCGTTTTTATGGATTATAAGATAATAGTGTTTTAATTAAAGCAACCAATAAAATCTGGTTAAATTATTTATAAATAGAAAGATTTTATTTTATTTTATTTTTAAATATCTTTCTAAAATTTATTCTTTCTTACCTCTTTTTCTGTTCCATTACTCATTTCTTTTCGGTAAGTTTAATTTCCTCTCTTTTTTCCCTAGCTTTCATGTATGGTAAGAGGATCTACATGTGATTTATGTCGTTAAAATTTTGATCTCTACTATTTTAGGCACATAATGACGTGTTCTTTTATGAAGTAGAACTTACAAAAGTTAGAACACACAAGCTACGATTGATTGATATGTTTATAAGAATTTTATCAAAAAAAGAAAAAGAAAAAGAGGTAGTGCTTGTAAATCTATATTGATCTAATAAAAATAAAGAAATCTAAATTTAAAATTGAATCTATTTTGGATATTAAAAGTCAAATCCTTGGCACCACGGGAAGAGTGATTGAATTAGATATTAAAATCCTTGCCCACCCTACGTAAAATTGAGAAGGAAGCTAAAAGAAGGAGATCAAAGAACTCATCAAGCTTGAATCCATCGTAAGGGAGGGATGGTAACATCAAAACCACATGCAATTCTTCTGGCAAGTCCTGGCATGGGGCACATAATTCCCATGGTGGAGCTAGGCAAGCGCCTCCTCACACACCACGCCTTCCACGTCACCATCTTCGTCGTCACCACCGATTCCGCAACCACAAACTCTCAGATTTTGGAACAAACATCCAACCTTAGCTCCCTCAACATCGTCAATGTCCCTCCGATTGATCTCTCCGACAAACTACCACCCAACCCTCCCTTAGCTGCACGAATCGGGTTAACCATTGTCGAGTCCATTCCCTTTCTACGCTCCTCCATCACATCCATCAAGGACCTTTCTCCTCCTTCAGCTCTTATCGTTGACATGTTTGGTCTTCCAGCTATTCCCATGGCAAGTGAACTCGGCATGTTAACCTACGTTTACTTCGCCACCAGCGCCTGGTTCTCTGCAGTTACAGTTTATTTTTCTGCCGTGGACGAGAAGATTATGGAAACACACGCCGAAAGCCGCGAACCACTTTTGATTCCTGGCTGCGAACCGGTCCGGTTCGAGGACACGCTCGAACCATTTTTATCTCCGGGAGGGGAGCTGTACGAGGGTTACCTTCAAGCGGCAAAGGATATTGTAGCCGCTGATGGAATTCTGATGAACACGTGGCAAGATCTGGAGCCCTCTGCGACGAAGGCGCTGAGAGATAATGGGATTTTGGGACGGTTTACGAAGGGAGAGACGTATGAGATTGGACCGTTGGTGAGAACCATAGAGGCAAAACCGGAGGGTGGAGAGAAGGATGCGATTTTGCGATGGCTGGACCGGCAACCGCCGGAGTCGGTGATCTACGTCTCGTTCGGGAGCGGTGGGACCATGTCAGAGAACCAAATGAGGGAGATAGCGTTGGGTTTAGAGCTGAGTCAGCAAAGGTTCGTTTGGGTGGTGCGGCCACCGTGCGAAGGAGACGCTAGTGGCACGTTTTTCAACGTCTCGAGTGGCATTGACGGCACCTTGAGTTACTTGCCTGAAGGGTTTCTGGGAAGAACGGAGGGTGTGGGGATTGTAGTCCCCATGTGGGCATCCCAGGCGCAGATCCTGGAACATCCTGCGACAGGGATGTTCGTAACGCACTGTGGTTGGAATTCCGTTCTGGAGAGCGTGGTGAACGGCGTTCCCATGGTGGCGTGGCCGCTTTACGCTGAGCAGAAAATGAACGCTTTCATGCTGTCGGAGGAGCTTGGAGTGGCGGTGCGCGTGAAGGAGGAGGCCGGAGGAGTTGTAGGAAGGGAACAGATAGCGGAGTTGATGAGAAGAGTGATGGTGGATGAAGAAGGTGTTGGCATGAGAAGCAAAGTGAAGGAGCTGAAACTGAGTGGAGAGAAAGCGTTGTGCATGTTTGGCTCTTCTCATCATTCACTCTGTGAAATTAGAGAAGCCTGTGAAGTTCATCTCCAATCTTCTGATACAAAACTATCCCCTGCCTGCTACTCGAGGGTTAACACCACTGTGTTCAGCAACGTTGTTTCCTATTGAATCTTTTTTTTTTTTTTCTTTGTTTCCTTTTCTTCTTCATCTTAATTTTCTTGTTCAGTTTATAGTCTTTAATCTGTTTGCCTGTTAATGGATATGTGACACTGTTCCACCATTATCTCAGTTTGGTTCCAGTAGAGATGAATATAGCAATAATATTTTCGCACTCTCCAATCCAAATAACTCTACCATCCTTTTTTATTAATATAATAATAGTAAAAGATTTAATAAAAATATATGAATTTGGGTTGTAAAGATATCATTTTTTATATGAATATTACCTTAAATGGAGAAAAGTATGGTTTTAGCATCAGTATTAAAAAAAAACATGTTAAATTAGTCCACCTATCTAATATTTCCGGTTAAATTTGTTGAGTGGTATAAAATTATAGGGTAACTATCATGGTTTTGTTATGAAAATAGACTGGATTAACAGTTCAGTTGAGAATCGATTTAAATATTGGATTATTATTTTTAAACAATTAAATTTAATTAAACCGATAATAAAATTTAAAAAATTAACTATAATATTTTTCATTTTTATTAATTTTATAAAATTATTATTATTTTATTTTATTTTAATATATATTTATATTTTTTATTATTTTTCTAAATTATTATTATTATAGGTTTATTATATATTTATTTATAAAAATATGATTTTATTAAATATTAAATTTTAATTAAATCTTTAAATTATGAATCTATATTTAAAAAAAAACATGTATTATATATTAGGTTTTCATCAGTCACTTTTATTAATATAATAATAATAACAATAATAATAATAATGTTTTTATGTTTATTTTTTTTTACTGTTACATTCAAAAGTTATATCAAAATATCTGTTTACAGTAAATGTGAAATTATCATTTTTCAAAATTTTAAAACGTTAAATTGTTTATTTTGTTTTAAACTAATTTACCCTTTTTTTTTTTAACTTCTTTGAAAATATAAAACTAAACATTTTTGAAAATTGATTTTTCTGTCACTTTTTAACTTGTCAAGTAAAACGAGGTAATTGTTTGTGGAAACCTAGTTTTTAATATATTTATGTTTGTGTCATTCATTTGGGTCTCTAAATTACCTACATTCACCCTAAAAAAAATGTCTCGAACAAAGAAGGCATACAATAAAGTCATCCTAGGCAAGTAGATAAACATGGGTTAACTAGTTTAATAGTTCAAAAATCTCTCACACGCTATGTTTGAAAGGTTTATTATAAAAGAACATAATTAATAAGAGAAAAGAAGTCACGTTCAACTGTAGAACAATCAAATATAAGTTGTAACTGTTTGAATAATAGAACAAAAGAACATAATAAGAGTCAAATATTATAAACGCATTCTTTCAAAATGCAAAATATTATAATCTATCTGAGATAGTCATATTAATAAGTTTTCATAATTTATTTATACTCTTATCTCAACGATTATTATATTTATTGTTTTTTCATCCCATAATATTCATACAAAAGAGAATTTATGTGATATATTATTCTCTAACAATCTTTTTAACACCATTTTCTATTAATTAGTTTTTTTATCAACAAATGATTATTTTTTTAATACATCTATTTAAGGATTTTGAGACTTTTAATAAATGTTTTTTTATACATAGAACAGAAATCGAATTTCTTAAAGAATAGAATCATGTCGATTATGATAACATGCCACCCTTCTGTTCCTCTCACAGGTATATTCATGATTGATACTATTCATGAAACTTTGTAAGAAAAGGAAAGAGTCTTCGGATTGTGGGCATAGTCGTAAATTTTTCTGAAACAGAAACAGGACACTGATTAAAAAAAAATCTGATATTTATATCTAAAAATTTATTTAATCGGGATAAAAATATAATTTATAATATTATAACAAAAATATTATAAACTTTCACCGATATATAATTTTATAGTAAAAAAATATAATATTAAGCCCTTAATTTTTAATATTATTACGCGTTTCATTAGTGGCAAAATTCATATTTTTTTTAACTATTATTACTCTAATTACACAAATATTTGATGTTACATATAATTGCAATCTAGGCCATATGGGATTGATGAATGAATATGAAACACTTAAATTTTAATATTATGAAATAATATCCAACAAGATTTAACATCATATGTTGATTCAATAATTTGAATTTACATTGCATGCATGTATAGTTTGTAAGAAGAAAAGTCAAGTGGGGCAAAGGTACGTTTCTCATATCTTAAGGCACCTTACTTTCATAAATGGACGAGGCAGTCAAACTTTGACATTTCTGTGGTCTCTGTCACAACTTGAATCTCTCAGTAATTTTTTATTGACTTATTTAAATAGCCTAACACTACAACTTGTGCTATTTAACTAATTAGGTAGAAAAGGAGTTTAAATACAGTTTTTATATTAAATTATTTTACTATTATATATTCTTTAATACAATACAATCCCAACCCAACCACCATAATTAGTTGTTTGTAAGTTATGCAGATTGAATATTTTGATTTGTCCATAAATGTAGATATGGGTAATGTGGATGGGTTGGTATAATCATTAATATATATATATATATATATATATATATATATATATATATATAATATACTATTTTATTATATTCTTAATAAAAAGTAAATAAAATATAATAATTTTAAAAAATATAATTAATATAAATTTTAATTGAATATTTATATTTTCTTTTTATATTTAATACATTTAGTTTTTAATTTTATACATTTTATTTAATTTTTATATTTATTTTGAATAATTACATATAAAATTATGAAATAATTTTATTTCATCATAGTTTATTTTAAATCAAATTAAAAAAGAATTAATTAAAATTATATCATAAATTATAATATAAATATAACATACTGAATCAATCTGAACATTAAAAATAAATAAAATTACAGAAAAACTAAAAAATAAATTAAAAAGTTGTAAGTATTTTTAAAAAATTGTATTAATTTAAATATTTAAAATATAATAAAAAGTATTCATATTTATCTACAACAATAATATTAATTTACAATGATGAATAAATGTGTCTGAATCCACATACTGATACCAATCCAAGAAAATGACATTAAATTGAACAGGGTCAATGGTATTTGCAGTCCATTAAAAAAAAAAAAACAAAGACTTCAATAATTAATATAATACTAATGACCTATTTATTTTAAAATAATAACAAAAAATTATTGGAATAAGTGTTTTATTATAATTAATTTTAAAGTAAGATTATTTAGTTAAAAAAATAGGATGACTCTCAATTTTAAGTTTCCTTTTTTTAAAATTAAAATTAATTTTTGATTTTCGTTTTTCGTTTTTCGTTTTTCGTTTTTCGTTTTTCAAATTTGATAATTGGAACTGGAATACCAAAAACTATTGGACAACTTTTTCCTGTATATTACAATGATCAAAATTTTACTTTTTTTACTCTTCACAAAATTAGTTTGCAGGTATCCCAATTATTTGGGCACGTTTTTAATTTAATATACTCATACTTGCTAGAAGAAAAAGGTTACCTTGAGTCCATTCCTCATAGGGATTTTTTTTTCAAATGCAGTTGAAATTTTTTGAAAGAATTTTTAAAATTTATATCAAATTTGTATCGGTTTTAATAGAATGTGTTGAATACATTAAATTAAAAAAATGCACATAAAAATTGGTCCTTTTGCCAATCGAATTTTGTGAAGACTATAAAAACAAATATAGTAATACAAATAATATTGGAATGGATCTGTTTGTGATTTCTTAATTGGTTTATTATAATAAAAATTACTTCCATCGTGAATATATTTTTAAAACAAGAAATAATTATTTTCATGTTAAATATTATTATGTAAAATAAGTTGTTATTATTTTAAGAATATTTTATAATATTAATTATCTATAAAGATTAGTCTTTATTAATTATAATGACAATCTAAATTATAATTTATATTTTATATATATTCCTAATGAATAGAAAGACAAATCACTAATAATTTTCTATATGGTATTAAATCAGGTTATCTTCCTCAATTTCTAAAAATTCATTTCTAAAAAATCTATTGTTAGTGTTCATCTTCTTTAAAACAATTTTTTTCTCTCTTTCTTTCATAATTGTCCATATATGGTTGATAGTTCTAAATTTTACTCTACCTTAACTGTCATCAACGTGAAACCTTTTATTTCAATCACTTTGGACATGGAAACCGATCAATATCATTTATGGACAACCTTATTAAGGCTCAAGCTAAAGTTTATTTCATGCTTGAACTTATCATCCCTTCTCACAAAGGTTGTTGCCATAACGGCATATCAAACAACCAAGGTTGTTGTGGAATCGTCTTGATGCTGTTATTTTCAAATGGATTTATGCTATAGTATCTCCTGATATTCTTACATCGATCCATGTGGCTGATGATTTGACTGTTAAAGCTTAACAACGTGTAGCTGACTTATTTAAAGATAACAAAAGCATTAAGGTAGAATATTTTGAAACTCAGTTCACAAACACAAACTTAGCAAATTTCTCAACAGTCTTTGCATATCACAATCAACTCAAATCTTTTGCTGACCAATTATCGAATGTTAGGGTTCTTGTTTCATATCAACATCTAGTGCTTCATTTGCTCGCTGACTTAACTGAAGCATATATTGGTTTTGTCATAGTTATGCAACAAAAAGATGACTTGTCAAATTTTACAACAATATATTCTCAATTGAAATTAGAAGAGACCACGATTAAGGAGCGAACAACTCGTGATTTATAATTGCAATAACATCTTAGTAATAACAATAGTTCCTAAGGTCGTCATAATACTAATCACAACAAGAAAACCAATCGAGATAGAAGCAATAACACTCGTAGTGGCAGAGGCAAATGTGACAGTGGTGGGGTATGTAGATGTTGAAAAGAATGGTGCACCACAACAGCTGTTGCAATACTCGTAGTATCAAGTCTTCCCACCATATCAACATCCCTTCCTTAATCATTGGACTAGATGGACCCAACCTCCATGCCCT